AACGTCTTGGAATGTACCACGTCCACGGTCATACTCTGAAAATAATGATGCATCCAACGAATATATATTTTTACTAATCTTAAGATCTAGATATATCTTCTTCTTTTATAGTGCTGATATCTGGAAATGGATTTAATATATTCCCTAAATTTTTGTAACAAATACGCAAATTTGACCTGTTCCTGCTTTAAAGATCAAATTAAATTAACACTTGAGCTTGACTTGCTACTTTGAACTGGCTAAAGCTCAATATATAATGAGCCACTTCTTCTTTTAGTAAAATTCGGGCCTTAAGCTAAAGGAATAGAAGCCATAGTGTCTTTATTTTTAAAACTATTAAATAAAATTAAAATTAGTCCTTATTCTTTTCCTTTTTTATATACTGGCCATTAAAACTGTTTCGGATGGAAAATTTAAATCTTTTATTATTATTTATTAATAGACTATTGAGTTGTGATCAAGCAAAAAATATCTCAAAAAAACAAATATTCAGGAGTACATCGAGTTAACAGTAAGGTTAGAAGAAATGGAGGTAAGGAAATATAATTAGACTCTATTACGAGGTTTGTATTCATGTCTAGTCTATTCGGGAAATTTTGTTAGGTAGGTTTGTATTCATGGTGAGAGCTTTTTTGTTTCAATAGTGTTCAATTGATAAAAGTAATTACCTCCCTTTTTATTCAACTTATCCTTAATTTTGAAGCCATAAAGGGATTTTTATTAGGTTGAGACTAGTTATAGAGCAAATAGGATGGAATGCTTTGGGTGTTATTTCACTGACCTTAAAGAGACATTTAAAAAATTGATTTAAAAGATTAATTTAGTACATAATATTTAGAAGAGAAATCAAGTAGTAACCTTGGCACCACCCATGATTGTCTCTTTAAGGGGGCAAAGCATCAGTTCTTCATTTATATTCAATGGGAAGATTTGTTTGCGACATTATAGTAAAAAAAGCTCAAGAAGGGGACTAATCTAATTAGCTTGTATTTTTTGTATTACTCATACTTCAGCTCTGGGGTTTTATCTAGCGAAGAGCGCTTCTTTACATTTTTCAGAATCTAGCGCTTTTGGAATAAGCTTTTTCCTTAACTTTTTGCTTGTAATTTATATTAAGAATTCTTTATCATTAGCTTGCGATTTTTCATTGGCGATTAATCTTATTTTAGTTTAAAAATAACCAAGTTATATTTTAATGATTAAACGTTCCTCAAATAAGTCCTATTTATAATCCATAATACTCTCCTTTTATATAACGTTTTTACTGTATACAGGATTCGTTTATCACGCGGCCTGTCAATTTTAGCAATGCCTACCCGAACTTTACCAAGCCTGGGGCTGAGGAATTATCGGCTCTGGCAAGAGGAGATTGTGAAGGACCCACTTCTGAGACACCGATTCGGCTGCAAAAAATGGGCAGAGACAAATACACTAATAACTCAGACTCAGTGAAAAGCAAAGCCAATCTGGACACTGTTGGAGCTCTTGAAACCGTTGTCCCAGTTTTAGTTTCTGTCAATCAGCGATGTCCCCTGCTACCATCTGGAGGTATAGAGCTTCTTTCATCCAATCCAAGAAGGTTTCTAATGGAGGAAGAAGAGGCTAAGGGGTTAGAAAAACATAAGGATGAATCCAAGTACTTAGAATGCAGCCTTACTGGGACTGGCAAGGAAGTCAAAGAAAATAGAAGAACGGAGTCACAATACGAGCTAAGCAGAGATAAGTTGGGCATGAAAAGAAGTGTAGATCAGTCTACTCTACCAAACAATATGGAAAAGGCATCCACTCCTACAGAGTTTGGCCCCAATCTCGTATATTCTTGTTCACGCTATTCAGAGACATCGCTTACACCTAGGGTACCAGACCTGATTAGACCTTATGGTCAGAATTCGCAAGACCAAGTTGGGACATATTTTGGTGATAAATTTACAGAAGAGGACGCAAAGCAAATATCCTTTATTGGTGAATCACTAGATGTCCCTGTTTTACGGCGTCAACCCGTTAGGGGCCTGCAACCTGGTCTTTATAATCCAGAGGCTTTAAAGTCCGATGAATGTCTTTCTCATGATGTCCTTCCTAGCATAGCTGAAAATTTCAAGCATGGTCTAGCTGAAACGCATTTATCTTCATTAGCTAACAGCATGCAAGTCAAAAAGGCTGGTTGCCCTACTGTGGATGGAAGCAGAGTCTGCAGTGAGGCAAGTCGATATCTTGAATCGGCTCATATAGTTATGGACAAGGAACCAATTGCACTCGTGAGTCATGTTATCTAGAATAAACTAAGCTACAATCTCCAATACTTTACTTTACAAATAATTTTTCTAATTTATTTAACATTTTTGAATTAATTTGTGCTCAGCCCTTTCTGATACTATTCTAAATCTGACTATATTCTGGGAACTTATGAAGCAGATAAGCGCTGTTAATAATTCACTCTGTCGATCCATATATTGGTAGTGAACTGACAATTTAATAATGACCCAGCCTAACTATTCCA